ATCCGGCATCTCTTTAACTAGCTTCTCTGCTTCTGTCTTTTGGATGAAGAGCCATCTATAAGACCTGATTCTAAATGGCTGAGGTATTTCTTTTAGTAGAATATGGTGGTCATGTGACCTAGGATGAGGTAAGTCTTTTGGTTCTTCAAACACTTCAGGAAATTAATTAATAACATCTAGTATCCTGCTGGGTGTTTTTCCTTTTTCCTCATCATTGATGGTGTACAATTGTCCAACAACACCACAAGAGTGCCTGTTGAACAATTTCTCCATGATTGTTTTGGTACTTCATTACTTAATTCCACCTCTTCAGTATTGTTCTTGAATCTGATATATCATTACAAAAGCCAAAGACTATTGGATCGAACTGGCTCATCTAGTTCACTCCCAACACCATGTCACTGCCCCCATACTCAGGAGTTCTTAGCTTGTACTGTAATTCCCAATCATGTACCCTCTATATCAATGGTCGGCATACAGCTTTACTTTTAAGCTTATCACCATTTGCCACTCTGACTTTCTTGATTCTGGTTTCATCAGTAGCATAATTCAATCCTCTAACTAGCCTCTCATCTACAAAGCTATGGGTGCCCTCACTATCTATCAAGATAGAGACCTTTCTTCGTTTAATTATCCCAAAGACCCTTACTGTCTTATGCTTTAAATTCGCAGCTATGGCACTAATAGAGATCTCCATGATCTATTTGCCCTCTTGTTCCCTTTCTGATTCAGGGTATCTGGCCCCAGAAGTCGCAGACACCAAGAAATTGTCCCAAGCTTCTGATGTCTACAGCTTCAGAGTTGTGCTACTTGAACTTCTTACTAGACAGCCAACTATTCTTACTAAAGTTAATGAGGCCATTCAGCTAGTTAGCTGGGTTGCTTCTGTTGTTCGTCATGAGGAATTGACTGCAGAAGTGTTCGATATAGAGTTGTTGAGGTATCAAAACATCGAGGAGGAAATGGTGAAGTTTTTGCAAATAGCGTTGCTTTGTGTTGACAGTGTTCCCGGTCATAGACTGAAAATGTATGTAGTAAGAATGTTAGAGGATATCAGTGACAACTAGCTGAAACAAGAATAGGAGGTTCATTGCCTATACTGTTACCAGATTAGGTGATGGCGTAGGTGGGTTTGTCTTCTTTCCTATATTGATCAATTCTCTTTTCAGAATATAAAATTTCCAGGTCTTCTTTCTCTTGGTGAATAACTTTCCAATGCCAGTAACTCAGTGGTAAAGCATTTTTGTTGATGAATTTTAAGATAATCTCCATTGAGTCTTTTGATTCAGCAACAGAATGGAGTGCCTTTGGTTACCTCTTTCAATTTAGTTGACAAGGAAGAATTTTATTGCTGATGCTGAGTTTGTGGGCTAGATTTTGTACCTCAAAGGTTTCGTAATCAAATTATACAAGATAATAGAGTTTGTCCTTACTTTTGGGCTTGTGTGAAAGTGACTTTTTGAGAAGAAATTTTTTACAGCTTTCTGTAATTTCCCAGGAGTTGTCTAATAAGTGTGATTTTGCACACTTATTTAGGTCACAAGCATGACTTAATTATGAATAAAATGATTGAATTGTGACTTAATTTTATTATATTTGTGAATTGTAGGTAACACCGATGGACATGGTGAAATACATGAGAAAAGAC